TTACGCCTTAAGCCCTGAATAAAATTCTCTCTCTTCAAGCATGTATTCTCTCTATTCAAGTAGGAAAATAAATGGATACTTCATTTTGGGCTGGATACAGAGCACAATTCCTAGTTAGACCACAYGAGAGTCGTTATTTCAGAAATAACACTAAGTTCTGCTGCAAYAATAGCTTCTGCTTAATTAAATTCAGTAAGATGTGAGTTTTTCCCCCAACTTCTTCTTTCTAGTGAAGTTGAGATGGTCCTCACTTACATAGGAAGGATAAAAAGGAGATGGTCTCAGAGATATATCAGTCTCTAAGTAGCCAGAGACCGTAGATATGAAATGACAATAAGGAAGTGAAACAATTTTTGTGGGGCTGGGATGCAGCTCCGTGGTAGGGCATTTGCCTGACGTGGGACAAGGCCCTGGGGTGGATCCCCAGCACTGCAGTAACAACCACAAAACAATCACTAACTTTTTCCAGGTGGTGGAGAGGAATGTGTGATGCTATCAAGATGTTGAACTGCTCATTTTATCAATTATTTGTTTATTTTTGCCCAGGCTGTGGATTCAATGTAACCAACAGTAATCCTACCRTCTGCATCAATGATCTTGTCACAGAATACAATAAGCAACACAATGCAGCCCTGAAGCCCCTGCGAGCGGATTACCTCATCGCCAGGGCGGTGACAGTGCTGGAGACACTGATCCACACGTTCCAGGACAAAGGGCCCAATGGTGTTCTTCCCCTTTATTACAAATACTGGATACACAGGTCAGTGCTCATTTGTCTCCATTCTTTTAAAATTCCTTGGTTAAAATAGTRTCTTAAAACAAGGCCCTGGATCCTGGTCTGAGTAATTAGTTTTCACTTTCATGATGGAGAATCCCAGTGGGCACCACCACTGTGACCAAGTTTCAGCGTTGCCAGGAGTGGGAACACGGGCACCTCGTACCTCCCGGTAGGATGTGAGGGGAGGACACAATGTTGAAAATGTTTAAAATCAGTTTAGAATGTTCTAGAACAGTGGTTCTCAAAGTGAGATCTCCAGGAAACAGGGGCAGCCTCATCTGGCAACTTGTTAGAAAGGCAAATTCGCAGCCAGGACCTACTAAATCCTGGCTGCACACTGTGTGCGGATGGATGCTCCAGGGACTCTCCTACAGCTAACCTTTGAGAAAACCTCTGAGGTGTAATGACCAGCCTCCACCCTTGGGAAGGCAGTGTCTTCAAACTGGCAAACAAAGAGAAAGCCGAGATGTGCTGGAGATTAAAGAAGACTGAAGAGGCGTGATAGGTAAACGTGTTGTGTTTAGAGGATAGCCATTGAACATGGGGAAATCTGAACAAAGACTAGCTACACATATATGAGATAGCATGTATCTAATATGTACAATGTACATTAGATATCACTAGTATATCAAGACCGGATTTCTCGAGGGTGACAGTGATGTTATATGGTTTTATAGGAGATTGTTCTTCTTCGCAGGAGATATATGTTAAAGTATTTAAGCATGAAGTATCATGATGCCTGAAACTTATTTTCAATRATGCAGAAAAAATAAATGTGTTTGTGTGTGTGAGAAGAGAGAAAGCAAATACAGAAAATGTTATTATTTGGTATGAATATAAATGAAGGGAGAKGAGGTTTGTTGGACTATTCTTTCAACTTTTTTATAGGTTTGGAATTCCTCAAAATAAAAATTTGAGGGGCTACAGATGAAACTCAGTGGTAAAGAGCTTACCCAGCATATAAGGTCCCCAGCACCATTTAAAATAAATTAGTAAATAAATAAATAAGTAAATAAAAATTTTAATGATACAAAATTAAAATTAAGGTATGAGGGAATTCTCCATTCTGAAAACAATTAACAAGGATGTAATGAACAGGTACATCTGGAAAATATTCAAAGAAAGCAAGATCAGAATTAATTTCTCTTGTTATCGATGTTGTTCAGCTTTATTCTGTAAGACCAATCTTTTATTTTGACTCAGCCTTCCTGTCCCAAGTCTCAACCCAACAACCCAGAKAAGTGGCACTGTTGCCTTTGAGGGGTGGAGGGGGTGAGGGAGTCAGCAGGGTGATCAGAATTGGGAGTGTCTGTGGCTTAAGAGAGTCCCACCCACCAACCACCCTGTCGTTTGAGTAGTAGTTAACAGTCACCTGGGACCCCACCTTTGCATAATGGGATAAACACTCAGCCAGCCTCCGTTTCACTCCCAGTGACCTGCTGTGCTTCCTTTTCAGTGGTCAACAAGTCCGCCTGGGAAGTGCCGAGGGGCCGAAGGTGTCCATAGTGGGCCTGGATGACTCCGGGTTCCTGCAGGTTCATCAGGAGGGCGGTGAGGTGGTGACTGTGCACCCGGACGGCAACTCCTTCGACATGCTGCGGAACCTCATCCTGCCCAAGCGGCGGTAGAGCAGGAGCCGGTGGCGCGTGTCTGCAGACGGCAGGGGCCTGGCAGAGCCACACAGGTGCTCTGCGGGTGTCGCTGGCGCCTTTCCTCACCAGGGGAGCTGGAAGACTRATGTAGAGTTCTAGGTGGATTTTTTTTCTCCCTCCAAGTCATTTCATAATTCATTATTTTTTTT